ACCCTGGGCACTAGAGGGGGCAGTCCTGCAGCCCTGGATGCCGTGCCCTGGGTACCTGTCCCCGGGGGGTGCTGTCACATCCCTGCCTCACACCTCTTCCCAGGACTGGCAGTGCGAGGCCGTCACAGTGGCCGAACTAGTTCACTTCCTACGGAGACCAGGGCTTCCCCAGCAGGCAGGGTGCAGAGGCCAGCACGACTGTCATTTCATTTGCTAGCCCCGAGCCCAGACGTGCTCCTGAGGTGCCCTGTGCCCCTTGGCCCAGAAGACAGGTGCGGGTGGGCACCGGGCCTGGCGGGAGCCCGCCAGCAGGAACGACAAGGAGTGTGAAACCATGTTCTGCTCTGTAGAAAAAGGCAGAGCAGGCTGAGGCTCCGGCCTCCCTACCGCCCCCTTCTCCGTCCCCTGGCCCTCACTCCGGGGCCTGCTGTGTCCCACTTGCCCTGCGGAGGGTGTCGCCTGCCTCCTGGCGTCAGCCGGTTGGAGAGATGACCGAGTCATGTTTTGTGTGCAAGGCGGTAAAATGGCCCCCGTGTGTGTGTGTGTGTGTGTGACACAGGCTGCTCACAGCGAAACTGACACTCAAGTAGAAAGTGGTGGCCGCCCCCTGGGAGCTGCTCTGCAGCCGCGCGGGGCAGGGGGAGCGCCGGGCCCCGGCTCAGGCCAGCCTCCGCTTCCACGAGCTTGTGATTCACTGAGAACTGGAAGCTCAATTGCTTTTTCACTCACTAGCTTTTAACGGTTTATTCATAAAGCAGTTTTTCACTTTTCACTTATTTTCAGCCCCTTTCACATCTATCTACTCACGGTTTCTGTTGTCGGCTTAACCTCTCCTCTCCCCCCGTCTCTGCTTCATTTGTCTGTATTGCCTTTTTTAAACCTTGAACCGTTAAAACGGTCTTGAGGCCTTGATCGCTCTGCTCACTGAGGGATTTCCTCCAGGTCTCCTTGGGGTGTCCCTGCGGATCCTCGCTGTCTTTTTGAGTTACCAGCAGTTTGGTCCCCTCTACTTTTTGGGGTGACAAACTTGAATCTTTCCCAGTCTTCTTTACTTTTTTTACTCTAAAAAAAATGAAGACCCCTTCCCCAAGTCCACGAAACCAAACATCCTAGAATTCCTGATACGTTACTTTAGCAGAGGTTTGATTTGAGCACAACCCAGGATTCCGATTCAAAGGGCCTTGATTCCTTTCAGACGAGCCTATGAATTCCTGGGGAAAGTTCATGGACCTTACAAAAAATTAGCAGGACCTTTGCAAGCCCTATCTCTTTTGCCAAAAGAAGCCACAGTAGTTGTTTCCACACTTGAAAAGAAGCCTGCCCGTCATTTCCATTGTCTCTGACATTTGCTCTCTGAATTACAGATATCTGCCGATGGCAGCAGTCAGAGTTCTGGGGAAGACAAACCAGAAGAAATGAGAGAAAACGACAGGACCTTACCCTCTGATGAGCTGTCTGGGTGGAGGATGGCCTGGGAGCAGCTCTACCAGCGCATGGCTCAGGAAACCGAGGCCCCGGAAATGCCCCGACTTCCTTGAGAGCGTGCAGCTAGCTGGGGCTGGACCTGGACTGGAGCTAAGGATCTAGGTCCCTGTTGCACTGCTCTTCTAACAGACAGGGCTCAAAATTTCACTTCCCACCGTGGGTGCACTCTTAGCCTCGGGCTCGGGAGCCGGGGAAGGAGTCAAAGCACCCATTAGTGACCCTGCTTGGCTGCTGTCACAGCAAAGCACCATCAGGTCACTTGTACTGAGCTGGGGAGGCAGGGAATGGAAGGGAATGAAGGCATATCCCACCTCCTTTGCCTGTGTGGGTGGGATACGTCCTCACCGGAAGCTGATGGGAGGAGGGAAGCTGTCCCACCTCTTCCTGAGGGGCTGTGGCCCTGAGGGGCTCTAGCCTGGGGTTGCTTTGCAGTGTGCCCTGAGCTGGGAGTGGGGGTAGGAGTGCCCCATCTCACTTTCCATCCCCTTCCAGAATCCCTGGGAAGAGCTCAAATGTGCAATATACTTTCAAATATTTTACAAAATATACAGCGCATTTCATGTCACGGTATCATGGACTTTTCCTCAGAATCAGATAAGCTCTCTAAATCTGTCTTCCATCTATATCTAGCTATCATCTATCTAACTTATCAATCTCTCTACCATCTGTCTCTCTAAAGATCTATCTATCTAGTTCCCTAGGAGGCATCAGGAACATTGATAAAACAGGTTTTCTGCCAAAGCCTTGTTCTCTCTTGTCCCCAGGTGCTCCATCATTTCTAAGGCTGATAGAAATTATAGACCTGGAAGGGCTTCCCAGAGCATCCGGTACATCTTGTGCTTTCAAACAAGCTGATTCCTCTCTAAGCCCTCCAAGGCGCTTCTACTCCTCCCCGCAAGGAAAGGAACCCGCTGTACTAAAAACCCTAAAGGTAGGTGTCATCCCTGTGATCAAATCAGGGTCCCTTCTGCTAGGGTTTGTGTCACCCCTTTGCTCTGCTTCTCACCCGCAATGGGAAGCAGCTGGTTGCTGTCATCCACAGGTGAATCCTTCAGATAAGCTGAGATGGGAGCTTTGCCACAATCCCATGAGAACAGCCCCCTTTCATGAACACACTGAAGAATTTCTTACAAAAATTACCTCTTGACGCTCGTCTGTCACTTCCTCTTTCTTTCTTGATGAGGGTAGGAGAAAACTACAAGGTGACCACGTTCATATGCATGCTAAACAAAAGCTTCAGATATGTACATGGTCGGCTCTGGGCCATTAGTTCACCTGGAAGGCAGAGTAAACTAAGAGGTGTGTTAGTTCAGGCTGCTGCGAAACTGGTCACTGAGGGTATTGGAATAAATCAGGCTAAAAAATAACATTTTGGCATCTTGCTGTGATGTTTGCCTAAACGACACAATTAAGGCTGTTTTGAGACTGAAATCCCTTCTCACTGATTTAAGGAGCCACTGTGAGCAAATGGACTTGAGAGTTCTGAGGACTTAAAGCTTGGAAAAGGATAAGATGGGAGGCTTATCCGTGAGTCCTAAAACATTTCCTGCAGCCACTGTATACACAGTAGACTCTCAAGAGAGCCAGTGCCCAGAATGATCTGATTTCTTCTGGCCAGAAGTTGATACTGAAACGGACACGTTAGGGACAAAGAGCTCTATGGTCTCATAAAGGAAACGGTGTTTTCTGGATTGGTTCAATGATCATATTCTGTTACCTTCTCTCCTACCCATGAATTTTCTTAGCTGCCATCCTCTGTAGCAGTTTTCGTTTCTAGACCAGACGATCCTAGAGGCCTGGTTTTACATCAGAAATCCTGTACCATGTGCCACTAATTACTTTCATTTCTCTGCTCTGGCCTTTTCATGATCTTTTAAAGAAGGCTACACACACACACACACACACACACACACACACACACACACGAAAAGGCTGACTTATACAAACTTGAAGGTCCTCAATTGGTTTCCTCTCCCGCAAGGGAAAAAAAAAATCTAGATATGTGCCCATCAACTCCCATGGAAACAAGTCCTGTAGACAGTGTTCTCTTATGGTGGGGAATCAAATGCATCATTCCTGAAGCTTTTATTAAGACAGACAGAGAAAGAGGACTTCTTCGGTCTTGCCTCGCCCAGTGCAGTTGCATGAAATCTCAACCGATGGTGTGGATGTCGGCCGGTAGACTTGAGCTCCTAGTGAGCATCATCTTTGCATTAAACAGCGAAGTCCCCACATGTTCCAAGAATATATAACACTTGAGAAAAAAAGACATGCGTTGCCAGGTAAGAAAGTGATTTACGGTAGTGACTGTTACACACTGGATCTTACCGGTCTTTGTTTTGAAAAATTATTACAATGGTTCTGTAGAATTTAGTAGTGCAATGAGCACCATTTGGCACATTTATGACAATAGGGTTCTGGTTTTCTTAACTCCAGTTACATGTTGGCAGCATTTCAAATTCTTGGTACAGATGTTCAAGTGAATATGAAGAAGAAACATTAAAAAAAAACCAGGCAGCTTTGAGTACCAAATGTAAGGAGCATTATGTTCTCAAGATGTAGTTACACGGATGCAGGACCATTGGTAGTGCATGTGTGGCAAGCTTGAAACCATGTGCAAAGGGCTTTTAGAGTTTTATCACTGAGGGCACTAATAATTTTCTAGAAGCATCTCCTACTCACATCTACCAAACGAGACTCAGACCTATGCCTCTATTTGTGCCCGGAGATAGATTAGTTTCTGGGGCATCAAAGGACCAGCAAGTAGCCCCATACCCACCATGTGAGCTTGGGATTGCCTGGCCACACCACAATCCCTCAGTTTCACAGTAACAGTGTCCAGATGCTGGTAAAACAGCTTTCTTGAGACGCATTTTAAATGAACAAGTGGCAAATCTACTTCCTGAGTTAAGAGGTGAAGGAAAAAAAATACCCTGGGCTGTATGGCAGGAAGGCTTATGCAGAAGCCGGTAACACCTTACTCCCTGTGGAATAAGGAAATCTGCAGGCTACAGGGGCCAGGGCACTGCTCCTTCCCCCAGCTTCTGGGGGCTTCCCCAGAGCCCCTCACCCATGAGCAGGTGGAGTCTGCACATGCACACCCGGCACAGCTCAGAAGGCACTTCTGGAATTGTTCGAAGTCTCCCTTGCTTTCCTACTACCCTATACACACCAGCAAAGTAAAATTAACAAAAAAGTCCAAAGAAAGTAAACCAATCTTCCCCACTTACTGGCTAATGCTTAAAATGCTTTCCTTAGAACACACTTTTATAGTTCGTATTTAGAGAAAATCTTACGCTTTTGAGTTACGGGACACTAGACGGACACTTGCTTCTGATCACTCCCAAGTGTAGTCCTCGATGGAGGTGGTATTGGGGAGTCCTCCCTTTGGGGGCAGGGACCGTGCAGGAGAGAGGCAATGTGTCACGTTCAAAATTCATTCCGGGGCCCCCCTTCCCGTATAATTAAGGTGCCACTCACTGGCCCTTCACGCCAAGACACTAGACAAGCATTGGTAAAGCATAAACATTTATATTTAATTTACATTTTGACAATTTGCACATAAATAACAATGTAAACCAGTACGTAAACATAAGATAGTTCGTTGTTCTAGCAAAGTGAAAAGCCAGTAACTTTGGTCAGTTTTAACTCTGAGTAGAGGAAAAAAAATAATAAAACCACTGTTGATTGTGGGCTCAACATTCACATGTAAGAGGCCTAAGGGGGAAAACCGGACAGCATAGAAGATCCCAGGTCTCAAGCCACAGTGCAGGGCCTGGTGAAATCCCCACGTGTGCGAAAGCACAAAGAGGCAAAAAGCGAATGGGCAGGTGGAAGTAGAGCATCTGGCACCAGTGTCAGGGTGTGATGCTTTGGTCTGCCTACTTGAAGGGCTGTGTGCTCACCGAACACTGATACCTGAAAGCTGTCAGTTTCCCAGCTGTGTGGATCAATCAGTAAGGCTCGCAGGGTTCCCTGGATCATTCTCAATATCATTACTCTTCCCTGCAGGTTGCCATGAACAAAATGCTGAACATATAAACCAGATTGATTGGCGATACATCAGTTATTTAAGGAGGAGGGAGAGAAAAGTTAGTTGTAGAAGGAGTAGTAATGGGATTTTTATTTTTGTGACTTGGGTGTGGCCATATAATCACAATGTGGCAAACCAAAAATAAAGCCATCTGACAGGGTCCTTAATAGTAAAAAATGATGGATCTTTCTCCCTGGTTTCTATGCAGTCCCCACCTTTGCATCAAGGTCTTAGGGTGTCTTACAACAGCAAGGGGTCCCCAAGCTCACCACTGTGCCTATGAGGTCACAAGTGTTAAGCAAAGTCTCAGAAAGGGTTTGATTTTTGTGTTTTTTCCTGCCCTTAGGAAAAGTAGTTTCTTTTACATGGCTTGGCTCACAATTTAAGTGGTCATAAATATATTATATACACATGGTATATTGGTATAAATAGATTTATAAATATACATCATTCTTCGTTACACCTTGAATGCTGACATATAATCTTTGGGCTTAGCAGAGTAAAAGATAGAGTGACACACATTCTATCTTTCCCGAGCACATTTCGTCTCTCCTCTCGAGTAGCAAATATTAGGTAAGTCATCATTTCCTGCACGACTGGACGTACTCAATGAGGTAATTGTTGTTGAACAACTTTGCAATGCCCTTTCATCTTCAATTAAAATAACTGTAAAATGTAAAAACACAAATACTGAGGAAAACAGGAGTTGTACAGAAAAAAAAAGACAATTGATGTGTTGGGGATAGGAATGTTCATTACCTGCTTTTACCCTAAGACAACAAGAATACCCGTTTTCCAGTTTTTTTGTTTTTAAAGTGTGGCCTGCGCTTATCTACCTCGAATCCTTCCTGGTAGAGCACCATGTTTGTGCAATTTTGACGTAACAACAACAACAAAAACCAACAACAAAAACGACACCCAGACTCAAGCCCCCAAACCTCACACATACCAACCCCCCCCATGCCTTGGGAAGGTCTCACGGTGGTTTCAAACATGGCATTACGTCTTCTTCACATTTTCAGATACTATGTGGGATTGCAAGAGTCGTGCAGCCACTCTGTCACATGAGTGGGGCTGCGGAGACCCTGCTTTTTGGAGAAGGAGCCACGTTGGCAAAGCCTTCTTGTCACACCTTTGTGGTAAATCTGCGGCGACGGGGAGAAATTCTGATCTACAGACACATACAAGATTCCTTTTCTTGTTTTTTCTACCTAGGTTATCACTGGGTAATTCCGCACAAAAAAAAAAAAAAAATTCCCCAGGCTATATATGATGCCGTTCAAATGATATGACCCTATGAATTAACACATCAACTGTTGGAACTTTGGCCAAGACCAAAGCCTCACGTTCAAACCATTATTATAGAGGGAGGTCAACCGAAGTCATGTATATGCTGACTACATCTTAGGTACTTAAACAGATGTGTTGAAATTATCTACAAAGAACGGCCACAAGATAAAAAATATAACATTTATATTCAAATTACAAGGAATTTTTCCAGTCATTGTAAACTTTAATTATTGCTTTTTGAATGCTAAATTGTATAATAAATTATGAAGGATTATCATTGAAAAAATAATTATGGCTAGGCAAGTCTTAGCAATGGGAAGGCTATGCAAACATATCCACAAATATTCAAAATACATAGGTTCAAATATATAGATGGTGTAAATAAGTATATATATATATTGTCTTTGCCTCATTTATGCCCTGAGATTTCAGTAACTTTGGAGTTCCTTCTTCAATTTCAAAGTGGTCGGGGGAAGCCATCTGCGGTCAAGAAGGCTTTGCAGAGATGGGATTCTGTACAAGCCGTTCGCTACAGGCACCCTGACTTGCCAGGTCGTAAGTTAAGAAACAAAACAAAACATTTTTTGCTTTCTGAAAATCTTAAGGATCCATTGATTCTACTGTTTCCTGTTTGACCTTTACAGGTCCCAGAGGTAGTGGGTTGCAGGGAGCCACCTTCATGAGCGGCGTGTCCGACGGCTCATAAAGGCCGCACCCCGAGAGGAGGCCGTTCCCCATGTTTCTTTGCAAAGACACCTTCAGGCCGGTTTCTTCTCTCTCTTTTCTGACCACAGCCAGAATTTCTTTCTCCACCACAGAGGTCACGTCGATGTTGTCCTCCACGTCCTCCAGCCGGTCGGCATTGTCACTGAGATCAAACTTCTCGATCTCCTCATTGATGCGGGTCAGGTCGTCCACGGGCAGCCCGGGGGCTGGGGCCACGGGACAGTGGCCCTTCAGGTGGACCTTGAGGCTGCACAGGTGGATGTAGCTCTTGTGGCAGTGGGCGCACTTGTGGGGCCGCTCCCGCGTGTGCAGGCGCTTGTGGAGTTTCAGGTGCACGAACTGGGTGAACTTGGCGGGGCACACCTTGCACTGGTAGGGCTTCTCCCCCGAGTGGAGCCGCAGGTGCGTCTTCAGGTTGCTCGTGCTGCTGAACCGCTTGTGGCAAACCTGCCGTGGGGGGCAGAGGGCAGAGAAAGCAGACGGGGAGACGAGAGGGTTAGGAAGAGCCACCAAAGGGAGAGGCACGCACAGGAGCCGACACCCAGGGGCCTGGGAGGCGAGACGCCTCCAGTGGGGCACGGAGCAAAGCGGCCGTGTCTGCCCACTGCTGCCCACTCCTGGAGGCTGGCTGCTTCACCACCTCAGCTCCCCAGCAGGCACGGGGAGGCAGGGCGCTCGCGCTGGCTCACACCCTCCGACGTTTCCTACTGAGGTCACAAGTCCTACCCACCTGGCATTCGTGTGGCTTCTCTCCCGTGTGTACCAGGTAGTGTTTCTGCAGGTGGGCGAGCTGAGTAAAGCCCTTATTGCACGTCTGACACTTGAAGGGCCGCTCTCCACTGTGCACTCGGAGGTGGACCTGGGAGGAAGCCACACGCGTTAGTGGAAGACCGAACGTTCCGCTCAGGCTCAGGCGTCCAGGATGCAGACGGCTTACGGGGAGCTTCAAGGTGAAGCCCTAAACAGAATAAGGCCCGGGGTTCCCAGACTGCTGTGCGTTTGAACTAAAGGAACAAAGGTCACAGGCCGGCAGGGGCCTCAAACTCATCTTCTGGCCCAAACCCCACGTTTTTATCATTCAGAAGACACTCAGGAGAGGGCTGTCGCTTGCCCAAAGCCACCCAGCCGGAAGGGGCTAAAGCGAAGCAGCCCCCGCTGACTGTCCCCGCCGGGCTCCGGCTGCCCACGTGCCCTCGGCGACCCGGGGGAAGCGGGCTGAACGCCAGGCCTACCTTCAGGTTGGAGAGCTGGCCGAACGTCTTGGCGCAGACGTTGCATTCATACTTAATCTTGCCGTTCTGCTTCTTCAGGGGGTAGGGGAGCGTCTTGTAGCCGGTCATGTTTCTTTTGTTTTTAATGAGATTCATGGCTTCGTCGCCGCCGGGGGTGGCCATGGCGGCCGAGGTAGCTTTGGGCTGCACCACGTGCTCTGCCGTGGCGGCCGTGCCTGCCGTCGGGGAGCCGCTGGTGGGGCTGCAGGCCTTGTCCTTCAGGCTGGCGGCCGCGCCAGGGAGGGAGAAGGCGCTGTGCGGCGCGGGCACCAGCACGTCTCTGGGGTGCTCGGGCTGCAGCAGCCTGCGGGCCCCGTCGGACGGCAGCGAGCTGGGCAGGGACGCCGGGGCGAGCACGGGGTGCGGCAGGCCGCTGCTGCCCAGGAGGCCGCCGTACACGGGGTACAGCCGCGGGAAGAGGCCCAGGCTGCCGACGCCATTCACGCCGCCCACGCCCAGGCCGCCGCAGTTGACGCCGTAGGGCGGCAGCAGGAGCCTGGGGTAGTGCGCCCCGTAGGGGGGGACGAAGGCTGGCGGCAGGGGGGCGCCCGGGGGGAAGCCGGCGTAGGCACCCAGGCCCTCGGCTCCGTAGGGTGCGCCCAGGCTGGTGCAGGCGTCGCGCAGGGCCTGGGGGCCGGGGGGCGAGCCGGCCGTCCCCGGGCTGCTGCGGGGGCTGAAGCCCTGCAGGCTGTGCGCGGGGCTGCTCCGCGCCGAGGGGCTGGGCGTGGCGGAGGACGGCACGGGTGAGCGTGGCCGGTAGGGGGGCCTCTCCACCCCGTAGGCCAGGGGGGCTGTCAGGAAGTCGTCGGGCAGCGGGCGGAGCGGGTAAACCACCCGCGGGTAGAAGGGCATGTCGGGGCTCCCGTTCCTCCCGAAGGGGTCTGTGTCCTTTCCCGGGGCGAAGGGGGACATATCCGAACGGTAGAAGTCCTTCCCTTTAGAGGGGCTGGGGTCCCGCCGCAGGATCTCCTTCACGCTGTGCTCTCTCCTCGGGGCGCCCCTGGGGCCAAGGCCGGGTCCCTCTGCGCCCTGCCGCCTCGGCTGGCTCTGCGTTTTTGCTGAAAGGAAGAAGAAAGGCCGATCACTCAGAAGGTGAAGAACCCAGGTGGAGTTGCCAGTCACTCTGGCCTTGACAGAACCTGGGCACCAGCTGGCCCTGGTGGGGGGCCCCGGCTCCTGCATGCACCCCCCACCCCCGTTCTCACCCGGCTCCACTTCCTCCTCAGCGAACGGGGACGGGGGCAGCACCCACCGGGTGTGGGGCGCAGTGGGGATTATCTGTTTCCACCCATAAAAACTTGAAAAGTGCTGTTTATGCTAGAACTGGAGGGCTCCCATTAAAATGGGGTGGAAAAATACTGGGGTGGGGGTGTCAGAGGTTAAAGTCATTCTGATGCTCACAGTGTATCTAAAGGAAGTCAGCACACACCCCGCGAATAAGATGTGAAAGATTGAGACTCATTTCAAGTAAAAAGCAGTCATCAATTTTCGCCCTGATTCTTGGTTTACTCTGGCTGTGATAACACCCCGATCAAACTGCCTGTGCCAAGAAGTAGATGAGCAACGTGCATGCCACCCATGCCCCTCGATTTGCTGACAGCACAAGATCTTCACCAGGGCTTTGTCTGGTCTAACCAGGCTCGCAGCCATGCTGTCCCCTGGAATCACAAGGCGTGCCGGTCACCTCTGCCAAACCACAACACACACTTCCCGACCAGTTCAATTACTTAGCACACCAAAGAGGGGCAAGGCAGCAGGCAGCTGAGATGAAAGCATTTGTTCCCAAAGAGGGCACATTATTACTCGGTAAATACACTGTTTAGGAACAGCAGCAGTGAGGACACGTCCAGATTGCCCTGGCCATTGCCAGCCCCGCCTCTCCAGACCCCCAGAACAGACCATGCCTTCAGGAGAACACCAGTGACAGCAGGGAAAATCTCCCTGCTTGGCCTTCCCTGGAGTCAGAAGTACAACAGGCCACTTGGTGGGCCTCTGGTTCTGGGACAGCGGGCAGTCTCCGCCTCAACATTGCCCCAGGCGTAGGAGGGGCCCCACGGCATCAGCCTCGGGGTCTGTGAGCAGCAGGCCAGTTCTTGGCTTCGCCTCAGGAGAGGCCAGGTTGGGGTGATCAGGAGAAGCCTCTGTAAAAGTTACCATTCGTTGTCTTTAAAAAATGCCCCCGTTTGATTTAACTGAGAAAGAGCTGCAGGCTTGATATCTGATAGGTGTAGAAATGAACTCTGTGGAACTGCAGATTTTGAACTCCTCAAATCCATTCTCTAGGCTGACAGGCTTGAGGGATTTGATTCCAGGCTGAGAGCCCCTCGGAGAATGTTATCTCCTGCTGGCCGTTATCAGTTACTCCCGGGTGAGCCGGCAGCCCCAGAATAAACACAGCAGAGACACTATCAGGCAAGATGCTGATGGGGGCAGTGATGGAAAGCTTGTTGAGGGAGAGGGATTTCTGCAGCCACTAAACCAAAATAAATACCCCGTTATCAGGCCAATATCAGCCTTTCAGTAGGCCCAGCAGGCAGGAAGTTCAAATTGTCACTTTTGTTTTTTAAAGCTGAAATGGTAAAGGAAGAGAGGCGACTAAGTTGGAAAACTGATAGGTAAAGCATCTCACAGCCAGGGGAAGGAATTTTATGGAGGCAAAAAAGGATGATTGGGAGGAATCTATATAGGCCCATGTTAAAAAAATAAAACACCCTCTGGTTAAAGTGAAAATACAGAAACTTCACTGTCATGACCTTCTGCCACTTTCATGTGGCAAATTACATGCAAGTGCCGAAATTCCATAATTTTTCCAGGAGTTTCAATACTCCTTGGGTCCTAAAATCCACCAAATTCAAGCCATAAGCAACAAGCTCCTGTCCATTGGTAGCACTGCCCCTCATGTCTGGTCTGACATTCCTACCGAGCACCTCAAAATTCGATGATCGCATTTCAGCAAAACTAATGATTGGGCCAACAAACAAGGTTGGAATTTATTATTTTCTATGCAAAATAGTTAGCACACTGCCCCGCACACAGTACATCCACAGTAAACATTTGCTCTCTCTTACGCCCTCGCAAAAATCAGCTCGTATCTTCTTCCAAAAACAATATCCAGAGGGAGACATTAGCTCCCCTAAGATGTTCTAAGGTGGAGATCATGGAGCCTGTATGGAGGTACATGAAAAAAACCATCCCTTGGCAGCTGAGTAATCAGGGGAGCGGGCGTCATTTCTGACTCTCCCACTCAGCAGCTTGAGTTAACATGAAAAAGAAAAATCAAGATCTGTTTTTGGTCTTAAATCTTAAAGGGCTGTAGGCGGCAGGAGTCATTTCAAGAGTGAACTCCCTCTGAAGGCTCTGAATGGCTTAATTATGCCGACTCACATTTTCGATCTATAATAAGAATGCCCAAGACTACAAGAACCTAGAAGTTCTGCAGTAGGCAAAACACAGTCTGTTTTCAATTGAAACTGAGAAAGCGGATTAACATTCAGAAATCTATAATTTGGTCAACTGTTTTCTAGATGGGTTATTTAGATAGATAGAAAACATACCAAAAAAAAAAAAAAACCGTTGGGAGGGGTAGGAGTTAACTTTAATAGTTTCTACTTTTATTCTGTTTTTTAAAAAATGCCTATTGGTGATTGCTGGCTGCTCATTTTTCCTCAGCTCAGGCTGTGTGGACTTGCCCTTCAAACTGTCCCCACCAAAGCGTCACCGCCATTTAAAGCCCTCGCGGAGATTTGGGTCCAGACCTCTGTTGTGCTTACAGCATGGAAACCCAAACAAGTCACTTGAAGACACAATCTACCGATTAGGCCTGATGAAATAGTGGGAATTTTCCCCATCAGAGTCCCAGTCATCAGTCGCCACACCCACCCAGGACAACTGGTTTCCAGATTGGCAGCCGGAGTGGTGGCTTGCTGGGCCTGGGCCTTGCTAACTCTTCATTCCTCACCTGAGATGTGAAACCACCACTTAGACAACATTCTGAATAAGTACAAAGGGGTATTTGAGGGACAGGGGTCATTTCACAGTATACAGGAAAAAGTTGCTTCTGAACACAAAGAATAAGCACTTGAATCTTAAAATACTGTGCAAAGCCTTTCGCTGGGAAATAAAAATGCAAGGCCTTGAGAACTTCAGAGGGTGAGGGGACATGTGAAAAAGCCTTTTCATGGTCAGTGCAGAGTCACTGGGTGGGTCACCTCAAATGGAGTTACTGTTTTAAAAAAAAAGCAAGGTCTTTCTCTGAATGCCTGAGATTAAGCACAAGGAAGGCAGGGGGACCCTCCAGTGGAGTGACCTGGTGTGCGGGGAGCTCGGCAAGAGGCAGCCCATGGTCCCATGAGCTGCGCTGCTGGGAGCAAGTTGCTTTCTACCACCCAGCCCTGGGCCTTGCCTGGCATCACGGATGCTGAAGTGGCTGAATGGCTCCTGGCAGAGGCCCTTGGGGGCCGTGAGGAGAGAGGAGGGGAGAGAACCGACCCCTCTGGCAGACCTGATCATACCCACCCCACTCGTCGGAAGCCAGTTTATTTCCAAACATTCCCAGACCTCTTCCTGCAGCTCAAGGGTGTAGAGTGTGAGCACGCATGCCACGAACATAAATTTAAAAGGTGATCCCGTGGGGGAGCTTTTATAGCCCCAGCTTTTCAAAAAACTTCCAATGCAGTCTTGAGATCACAGGGAGGGTGATGTGAAGTGGACAGTGTGCAATGAGCACCAGATACCTGTGTGGCTGGCACAACCCTGACCAGCACAGATAACTGGTTTGTTCATTGGTCCTAGGCTTAAGCCAAAATGCTGGTTTATGTTAAAAGTAACATTTATTCTGAACGTTTCAAAGGTGAAAATGTGAATTAAAGCAATTGAGCCTTCAGATAAATGGCATAGCTTATCAATGACTCTGGCGGGATGGGGTAAAGGGCATCTGGGATTTCTCAGTTCTACTCTTGCTACTTTAAGTTTGAAATGATAGCACAACAAAAAATGAGCAAAAATGTCAGCATTTAGATGCCTAAACTTTTAAACAAAAAGGAGCTAATTTTAAAAAACTGCCTTAAAACTTAGCGGTCTAAGCACAACACACAACCATGGTCCCAACAGTTTGGAATTTCATAGTGATTCTTAAATTGCTTGCAGAGACCACTTGAGAAAGACTGGCACGAGCAGCCCTTTGCAGAGGTCATGACACCAACTTTGACCTCACGAAACGGTAACAACTTACAAATCTAAGAAGCTGAGAACTGGTTAAGATAAAGTAATAGGTGGCTATTACAATACTGATCAGGAGATCTGATAATCAGGTTTTTACTGTAAGGAAGGAAGCTCAGCTATCGAATCTTTATATAAAGCTTTATCCATTTTGAATGGTATTTGAAAAATGATAGCTGCCAAGTTTTTCTAGAAACACTCTTACAGGTTCCACATCAGATCATAACTTGCTAACCAAACTGAGTCTCCACAGTACTGCAGTGTACAATGTCAAGCACCAACCAATTACCACACACAAGGGCCATACGTTGCACACTCGGCATGTCAGGACCAAACCCTGTCATACTCCCACCTGCCCCCTTTTGGACAGATAGAACTGGACTTGTATTTCTTCCTGTAACTTTCTGCATTACACATTCTAAGTAGCTCTTAATATTTTTTAAATGATCGAGTTTCATCATAGGGAACAGGGACTAAAATAAAATTTTTTTCCCCTTTTCCTAGTCCCCAGTTCAAGCCACCTATTTGGCCTACAGATGAAGCCACTTAACTAAACAATGTGCTGTTAGTTCACGGGGGCAGGTCTGCCATTACTGGCCTTTAAAATTTTTTTTGTTCTGTGATCCACTTACTGAGATTCATCATTGTCAGCTCTCCGGGATAAGGGTAGTGCAGCCTTTCTGCAAAGTCCCGACAGTACCACACAAGCAGCTCCTGGTCAGCAGGGATGGGCTTAATGGTGTAGAAGTAGATGTTCATCCCGGTCTGACACGCAGCCAGGTTCTGCTCCCGAGCGCAGTGCGCCGGATTCACATAGCGCATCCAGTTACTTTTCTCCTCATTAAAGCCATCGATGAAGTGGTGAAGTTCCCCTCTGGAATAAATCTGTCCAAAAGAGAAGACAGGCTGTAAAAGAAACGTCAGCCCGGACTGGATGGAAAGCTCTAAGAATAAACCCAGCCAGCAGCCACTGCGATTTCTGGTCCCCTAGTGCCTGGGCAGGGAAAGAATCGAGTCAGTGCGGCTGAGTGGCCCTGAATCAGGAGGAAGGGCNACACACACACACACACACACACACACACACACACACACGAAAAGGCTGACTTATACAAACTTGAAGGTCCTCAATTGGTTTCCTCTCCCGCAAGGGAAAAAAAAAATCTAGATATGTGCCCATCAACTCCCATGGAAACAAGTCCTGTAGACAGTGTTCTCTTATGGTGGGGAATCAAATGCATCATTCCTGAAGCTTTTATTAAGACAGACAGAGAAAGAGGACTTCTTCGGTCTTGCCTCGCCCAGTGCAGTTGCATGAAATCTCAACCGATGGTGTGGATGTCGGCCGGTAGACTTGAGCTCCTAGTGAGCATCATCTTTGCATTAAACAGCGAAGTCCCCACATGTTCCAAGAATATATAACACTTGAGAAAAAAAGACATGCGTTGCCAGGTAAGAAAGTGATTTACGGTAGTGACTGTTACACACTGGATCTTACCGGTCTTTGTTTTGAAAAATTATTACAATGGTTCTGTAGAATTTAGTAGTGCAATGAGCACCATTTGGCACATTTATGACAATAGGGTTCTGGTTTTCTTAACTCCAGTTACATGTTGGCAGCATTTCAAATTCTTGGTACAGATGTTCAAGTGAATATGAAGAAGAAACATTAAAAAAAAACCAGGCAGCTTTGAGTACCAAATGTAAGGAGCATTATGTTCTCAAGATGTAGTTACACGGATGCAGGACCATTGGTAGTGCATGTGTGGCAAGCTTGAAACCATGTGCAAAGGGCTTTTAGAGTTTTATCACTGAGGGCACTAATAATTTTCTAGAAGCATCTCCTACTCACATCTACCAAACGAGACTCAGACCTATGCCTCTATTTGTGCCCGGAGATAGATTAGTTTCTGGGGCATCAAAGGACCAGCAAGTAGCCCCATACCCACCATGTGAGCTTGGGATTGCCTGGCCACACCACAATCCCTCAGTTTCACAGTAACAGTGTCCAGATGCTGGTAAAACAGCTTTCTTGAGACGCATTTTAAATGAACAAGTGGCAAATCTACTTCCTGAGTTAAGAGGTGAAGGAAAAAAAATACCCTGGGCTGTATGGCAGGAAGGCTTATGCAGAAGCCGGTAACACCTTACTCCCTGTGGAATAAGGAAATCTGCAGGCTACAGGGGCCAGGGCACTGCTCCTTCCCCCAGCTTCTGGGGGCTTCCCCAGAGCCCCTCACCCATGAGCAGGTGGAGTCTGCACATGCACACCCGGCACAGCTCAGAAGGCACTTCTGGAATTGTTCGAAGTCTCCCTTGCTTTCCTACTACCCTATACACACCAGCAAAGTAAAATTAACAAAAAAGTCCAAAGAAAGTAAACCAATCTTCCCCACTTACTGGCTAATGCTTAAAATGCTTTCCTTAGAACACACTTTTATAGTTCGTATTTAGAGAAAATCTTACGCTTTTGAGTTACGGGACACTAGACGGACACTTGCTTCTGATCACTCCCAAGTGTAGTCCTCGATGGAGGTGGTATTGGGGAGTCCTCCCTTTGGGGGCAGGGACCGTGCAGGAGAGAGGCAATGTGTCACGTTCAAAATTCATTCCGGGGCCCCCCTTCCCGTATAATTAAGGTGCCACTCACTGGCCCTTCACGCCAAGACACTAGACAAGCATTGGTAAAGCATAAACATTTATATTTAATTTACATTTTGACAATTTGCACATAAATAACAATGTAAACCAGTACGTAAACATAAGATAGTTCGTTGTTCTAGCAAAGTGAAAAGCCAGTAACTTTGGTCAGTTTTAACTCTGAGTAGAGGAAAAAAAATAATAAAACCACTGTTGATTGTGGGCTCAACATTCACATGTAAGAGGCCTAAGGGGGAAAACCGGACAGCATAGAAGATCCCAGGTCTCAAGCCACAGTGCAGGGCCTGGTGAAATCCCCACGTGTGCGAAAGCACAAAGAGGCAAAAAGCGAATGGGCAGGTGGAAGTAGAGCATCTGGCACCAGTGTCAGGGTGTGATGCTTTGGTCTGCCTACTTGAAGGGCTGTGTGCTCACCGAACACTGATACCTGAAAGCTGTCAGTTTCCCAGCTGTGTGGATCAATCAGTAAGGCTCGCAGGGTTCCCTGGATCATTCTCAATATCATTACTCTTCCCTGCAGGTTGCCATGAACAAAATGCTGAACATATAAACCAGATTGATTGGCGATACATCAGTTATTTAAGGAGGAGGGAGAGAAAAGTTAGTTGTAGAAGGAGTAGTAATGGGATTTTTATTTTTGTGACTTGGGTGTGGCCATATAATCACAATGTGGCAAACCAAAAATAAAGCCATCTGACAGGGTCCTTAATAGTAAAAAATGATGGATCTTTCTCCCTGGTTTCTATGCAGTCCCCACCTTTGCATCAAGGTCTTAGGGTGTCTTACAACAGCAAGGGGTCCCCAAGCTCACCACTGTGCCTATGAGGTCACAAGTGTTAAGCAAAGTCTCAGAAAGGGTTTGATTTTTGTGTTTTTTCCTGCCCTTAGGAAAAGTAGTTTCTTTTACATGGCTTGGCTCACAATTTAAGTGGTCATAAATATATTATATACACATGGTATATTGGTATAAATAGATTTATAAATATACATCATTCTTCGTTACACCTTGAATGCTGACATATAATCTTTGGGCTTAGCAGAGTAAAAGATAGAGTGACACACATTCTATCTTTCCCGAGCACATTTCGTCTCTCCTCTCGAGTAGCAAATATTAGGTAAGTCATCATTTCCTGCACGACTGGACGTACTCAATGAGGTAATTGTTGTTGAACAACTTTGCAATGCCCTTTCATCTTCAATTAAAATAACTGTAAAATGTAAAAACACAAATACTGAGGAAAACAGGAGTTGTACAGAAAAAAAAAGACAATTGATGTGTTGGGGATAGGAATGTTCATTACCTGCTTTTACCCTAAGACAACAAGAATACCCGTTTTCCAGTTTTTTTGTTTTTAAAGTGTGGCCTGCGCTTATCTACCTCGAATCCTTCCTGGTAGAGCACCATGTTTGTGCAATTTTGACGTAACAACAACAACAAAAACCAACAACAAAAACGACACCCAGACTCAAGCCCCCAAACCTCACACATACCAACCCCCCCCATGCCTTGGGAAGGTCTCACGGTGGTTTCAAACATGGCATTACGTCTTCTTCACATTTTCAGATACTATGTGGGATTGCAAGAGTCGTGCAGCCACTCTGTCACATGAGTGGGGCTGCGGAGACCCTGCTTTTTGGAGAAGGAGCCACGTTGGCAAAGCCTTCTTGTCACACCTTTGTGGTAAATCTGCGGCGACGGGGAGAAATTCTGATCTACAGACACATACAAGATTCCTTTTCTTGTTTTTTCTACCTAGGTTATCACTGGGTAATTCCGCACAAAAAAAAAAAAAAAATTCCCCAGGCTATATATGATGCCGTTCAAATGATATGACCCTATGAATTAACACATCAACTGTTGGAACTTTGGCCAAGACCAAAGCCTCACGTTCAAACCATTATTATAGAGGGAGGTCAACCGAAGTCATGTATATGCTGACTACATCTTAGGTACTTAAACAGATGTGTTGAAATTATCTACAAAGAACGGCCACAAGATAAAAAATATAACATTTATATTCAAATTACAAGGAATTTTTCCAGTCATTGTAAACTTTAATTATTGCTTTTTGAATGCTAAATTGTATAATAAATTATGAAGGATTATCATTGAAAAAATAATTATGGCTAGGCAAGTCTTAGCAATGGGAAGGCTATGCAAACATATCCACAAATATTCAAAATACATAGGTTCAAATATATAGATGGTGTAAATAAGTATATATATATATTGTCTTTGCCTCATTTATGCCCTGAGATTTCAGTAACTTTGGAGTTCCTTCTTCAATTTCAAAGTGGTCGGGGGAAGCCATCTGCGGTCAAGAAGGCTTTGCAGAGATGGGATTCTGTACAAGCCGTTCGCTACAGGCACCCTGACTTGCCAGGTCGTAAGTTAAGAAACAAAACAAAACATTTTTTGCTTTCTGAAAATCTTAAGGATCCATTGATTCTACTGTTTCCTGTTTGACCTTTACAGGTCCCAGAGGTAGTGGGTTGCAGGGAGCCACCTTCATGAGCGGCGTGTCCGACGGCTCATAAAGGCCGCACCCCGAGAGGAGGCCGTTCCCCATGTTTCTTTGCAAAGACACCTTCAGGCCGGTTTCTTCTCTCTCTTTTCTGACCACAGCCAGAATTTCTTTCTCCACCACAGAGGTCACGTCGATGTTGTCCTCCACGTCCTCCAGCCGGTCGGCATTGTCACTGAGATCAAACTTCTCGATCTCCTCATTGATGCGGGTCAGGTCGTCCACGGGCAGCCCGGGGGCTGGGGCCACGGGACAGTGGCCCTTCAGGTGGACCTTGAGGCTGCACAGGTGGATGTAGCTCTTGTGGCAGTGGGCGCACTTGTGGGGCCGCTCCCGCGTGTGCAGGCGCTTGTGGAGTTTCAGGTGCACGAACTGGGTGAACTTGGCGGGGCACACCTTGCACTGGTAGGGCTTCTCCCCCGAGTGGAGCCGCAGGTGCGTCTTCAGGTTGCTCGTGCTGCTGAACCGCTTGTGGCAAACCTGCCGTGGGGGGCAGAGGGCAGAGAAAGCAGACGGGGAGACGAGAGGGTTAGGAAGAGCCACCAAAGGGAGAGGCACGCACAGGAGCCGACACCCAGGGGCCTGGGAGGCGAGACGCCTCCAGTGGGGCACGGAGCAAAGCGGCCGTGTCTGCCCACTGCTGCCCACTCCTGGAGGCTGGCTGCTTCACCACCTCAGCTCCCCAGCAGGCACGGGGAGGCAGGGCGCTCGCGCTGGCTCACACCCTCCGACGTTTCCTACTGAGGTCACAAGTCCTACCCACCTGGCATTCGTGTGGCTTCTCTCCCGTGTGTACCAGGTAGTGTTTCTGCAGGTGGGCGAGCTG